GCCGTCGGGGGCCAAAATCGTGTAATAGTCACGAGAAGGCCCGAGGAACACGTCAAACACCCCGGGAGGGACCACGAGAAGGCCCGAGGAACACGTCAAACACCCCGGGAGGGACCGATGTAAGTTGTGAAAACTTACGAAACTAGCATGGGACTCCCGGTGTGGAAACTAAGTCCGAAACGGCACTTTTCTCGCACCTAAGCTTGAAAATAGTCCATCGATGGGGGCCAAAATCGGGTGACCGTCAAGGGAAAGTCTGGGGAACACCTCAAAACACCTAGGGATGGACCAACGTGAGTTGTGGAAACTTACGGAACTCGCATGGGACTCCCGGTTTGGAAACAATGTCAAAAAATGCACTTCCTAAACACTTAAGTTCGAAAATATGCCATCGGGGCCAAAAAAATTCTGTAACAGTCCCGAGAAGGCCCGGGGAACACCTCCAACACCTCGAGAGAAACCAATGTAAGTTGTGGAAACTAGCGCGGGACTTCCGGTTCGAAAACTACGTCGAAAAAGGTACTTTTTCACACCGAAGCTTGAAAACAGGCCTCCGCGGGCCGGAATCGTGTAACAATCACGAGATGTCCCGGGGAGCACCCCGAACATCTCAGGAATGACCAATTTGAGCCGTGAAAACATAACGAACAGGCACGGGGACTCCTGATTTTGAAAACTAGGTCGGAAAACACACTTTTCTAACACTTAAGCTTGGAAGTAGGCCATCGGGGGCCTAAAATCATGTAACAGTCGCAACAAGGGCCGGGAGCACCTCAAACACGTCGGGAGTGACAGACGCGAGTTGTGAAAGCTTACGGAACTAGCACGGGGACTCCCGGTTTGAAAACTAAGTTGGAAAGAGACAGTTTTTCCACGCTTAGGCTTGGAAATTGGACACTAGAGGGGAGGCCAAAAACGTGTCACAGTCGCGAGAAGGACCGAGAAATGCCCAAAACACCTCGGGAGGGTCCAAGAGGTAAGCTGCGGAGACTTACGGAACTAGCACGGGACTCTCGGCTTGAGAACTAAATCAAAAAAGCACTTTTTTCACACTTAAGCTCGAAAATAAGCCGTCGGGGGCCAAAATCGTGTAACAGTCACGAGAAGGCCCGGGGAACACGTCAAACACCCCGGGAGGGACCGATGTAAGTTGTAAAAACTTAC